TGAGGCAGGAGAATCGCTTGAACCTGGGAGGCGGAGGTTGCAGTGAGCTGAGATCACGCCACTGCACTCCAGCCTGGGTGACAGAGCAAGACCCCGTCACCAAAAACAAACAAAGAAACAAAACTATAAAATGTCTAAAAAATAAAATCTTAAGGACCTTTGAGTAGGCAAACAATTATTAGACTGGACACTAAATACACATACACACACCAAAAACACAATTCATAAGAGAAAAGAAGATAAATTAGACCTCATCAAAATTAAGAACTTTTGCTCTGCAAAGACCCTGTTAAAAGGATAAAAAGACAAATTACAGGGCAACCCACTGGGGTCCCCTTCCATGCTGTGGAAGCTTTGTTCTTTCACTCTTCACAATAAACTTTGCTAAAAAAAAAAAAAGACAAATTACAGTCTGGGAGAAAATATTTGCAGGTTATATATTCAACAAAGGCATTCTGTCTAAGATACAAAAAGAACTTTGAAAACGCAACAGTATAAAACCAACCAAATTAGAAAATGGGCAAAAGGCATGGAGAGACATTTCACTGAACAGGATAGACAGATGGCACACACAGATGTTCAACATTATTTGCCATTAAGGAAATTCAAATTAAAACCACAATGAGATATAATTACCCACCTATTAGAATGGCTAGAATGAAAAACAATTACAACACCAAGTGCTGGCTATGATTAAAGAAACTAGATCACACATACATTGCTAGTAAGAAAGTAAAATGGTACAAAGATTGTCAACAATAATTTAGCAGCTCCTTGAAAAACTAAAAATGAACTTATTACACTACACAGCAACTACACCCTTGAGCATTTATCGTAAATAAATGAAGACTTATTTTCACATGCACAAGTTTGTACATGAATGTAAAAAACAAAAAACGCATATATATGTGTATGTGTATATGAAATAAAAGAAAAAAAAACCATTTTCAAAAGGGCAAGTATTGCAGGATTCTATTTATATAACATTTATGAAATTACATAATTATACAGAGAACAGAACAATGGTTGCCAAGGTGTATTAGTCTGTTCTCATGCTGCTGATAAAGACATACCCGGGACTGGGTAGTTTATAAAGAAAAAAGTTTAATGGACTCACAGTTCCACGTGGTTGGGGAGGCCTCACAATCGTGGCAGAAGGCAAAGGAGGAGAAAAGGCACATCTTACATGGCAGCAAGCAAGACAGAATGAGAGCCAAGCGAAAGGGGAAACCCCTTATAAAACCATCAGATCTTGTGACACTTACTACCACGAGAACAGTATGGAGGAAACTGTCCCCATGATTCAATTATCTCCCACCTGGTCCCTCCCACAACACATGGGAATTATGGGAGCTATAATTCAAGATGAGATTTGGGAGAAGACACAGCCAAACCATATCACAAGGGATAGGAAAAAGAGAAATGGGACAAGTATAGCTATAAAGAGGTAACACAAGGGAGTCTTGTGATGGTATTGTTGAGTACTTTGACTATTGTGGTGGTGACACAAGGCTACATGTGATAAAACTGCATAGAGCTATAAATACACACACAGAAGTGAGTGCATGTATAACTGGTGAAATCTGAGTAAGTTCTACGAATTGTAGCAATGTCAATTTTTTGGTATGGTATTGTACTATAGTTGGATAAGGTATTAACCCTGGGGGAAGCTGCAAAAGGGGTGCACAGGACTCCCCTGTACATTTCTTTGCAACCTCTTGTGAATCCAAATTATTTCAAAATAAAGGGTTTTTTTAAAGAAAATTCATGCCAAGGAAAAAGCCTAACCAGGTATTAAAAAACTGGTAAAGGAATGTTATCTTTACATTAAAACATGTATGAGAATATGTATCATTTTTCCATGATTCCTCTCTATTAGTTTCTTAGGGCTGCCATTAACAAAGTCCCACAAACTGGGTGGCTTAAAACACCACAAATGTATTGTCTCACAGTTCTGTAGCACTTTATTTATTTATTTATTGAGACAGGGTCTTGCTCTGTTACCAGACTAGAGTGTAATGACAGAATCATTGTTCTCTGCAGCCTTGACCTCCCAGGCTCAAGCAATCCTCCCAACTCGGCCTCTTGAGTAGATGGGACTACAGGTGCATGCCACCATGCTAGGCTACAGACAAGGTGTCACTATATTGCCCAGACTGGTATCAAACTCCTAGGCTCAAGCAATCCTTCCACCTTGGCCTCCCAAAGTGCTGGGATTACAGGCGCGAGCCACCACGTTCAGCCTATAGCGCTTCAATGAGTCACAGACATCATCAAAGAACTCTGGCCTATAGAATGGATCTGTTTTTGGCCTACACACCCCAAACTTTCCTGGTTGATCTCCTTTCTTCTCAATCATCCCTCTGCCATCTCTACCTCCTCAATATAGTCATATATTACTTTCTCTAATTTTCCTAATTTCTAATCAACACTATTTTTTTGCCTAGTGATCTATTAGAATATCCATCCATGTATTCTTGATCCCCTACTAGATTGAAAATGTCTCTATAACACTTTAAAAATGTATTCCTATCACCTAGCAAAGCAACTTGTATGAATCTTTTATTTATTTATTTTGAGACAGCATCTTGCAGTGTCACCTAGACTGGAGTAAAGTGGTACAATCTTGGCTCACTGTAGCCTCAAACTCCTGGGCTCAAATGATCTCCCACCTCAGTCTGCTGAATATCTGGGACTACAGGCATACACCACCATGCCTGGCTAATTTTTTAATTTTTAATTCTTTGTAAAGACAGGGCTTTTGCTATGTTGCCAGACTGGTCACAAACTCCTAAGCTCAAGTAATTCTCCCACCTGAGCCTCCCAAAGTGCTGAGATTACAGGTGTGAGCCATGAGCCCAGCCTGAACCTTTTAAAAAAATTTATAAACAGGCTGGGCACAGTGGTGCATGCCTGTAATCCTAGCACTTTGGGAGGCTGAGGTGGGAGGATTGCTTAAGGAGGTCGAGACCAGCCTGGGCAATATAGTGAGACTTCATCTCTGCAAAAATTTAAAAAATTAGCCAGGCATGGTGACGTGTGCCTGTAGTTCCAGCTACTCTGGAAACTGAGGTAAGAGGATTGTTTGAGCCAGGGAGGCAGAGGTTGCAGTGAGCCGAGTTTGCACCACTGCACTCCATCCAGCCTGAGTGACAGAGTAAAACCTTGTCTCAAAACAAACAAACAAAAATTAATAAACACTGTAGATTGTGTCCTTTGATGTACAGAAGTTTTTAGGTTTGATGTAGTCCCATTTGTCTATTTTTGCTTTTGTTGCCAGTGCTTTTGGCGTTATACACAATAAATCATTGCCAAATCCAATGTTATGAAGCTTTTCTCCAATATTTTCTTCTGAGAGTTTTTATTGTTTTAGATCTCATATTTAGGTCTTTGATCCATTCTGAGTTAATTTTTCTATCTGGTATAAGACAAGGGTACAAATGTATTCCTTTGCCTGTGGATAATCCAATTTTCTCCATGGAAGTGTTGGCACCCTTGTCTAAATTCATTTGACTATTTATGCAAGGGTTTATTTCTGGGCTCTCTATTCTATTCCATTAATCTACACATCTATCTTTATGCCAGTACCACACTGTTTGATTACTATAGGTTTGTAATATGTTTTGAAATCAGGTTTTCCCTAAGTATTTGATTTAAAATAACCTTGCCAACCCAACATTCTGAACAGCTGGTCTGTTCCCTGCAAGGGCTTCCTGTGCTTGCTCACTCACCTGGGCACCATCTTCCTGTCTCTTCCCTCACAACCATCCAGGGCTCCTTCCCTTGCTCCAATGAGGAGATTATGGCTGGCTTAGAAACAGAAAGTCCTAGTTATAAGAAAAGAAATTGAGATGAGATGGAAATGAATGTATCCAAATACAGTAATTTAGAACTGATTAAAATAAAAATAAATCACAGATAAAAATGGTACTTGATAAGGCATACAGAGGAAATAAAGGAGAAGAGATGAAATCCTCATATTCAGATGAACACAGGATCATAACAAACAAAGCAAACAAATAGGCGATAAAATAGTACTTAAATTTATGTAAGCTTTCTCTTATTTTGTTGTGAGAAAAAAAAAAGCTTCCTGAGATATTTATTATTTTTTTAAATTTTTTTTTTGAAATGGAGTTTTGCTCTTGTTGTCCAGGCTAGAGTGCAATGGCACAATCTCGGCTTACTGCAAACCTCCACTCCACTTCACGGGTTCAAATGATTCTCCTGCCTCAGCCTCCTAAGTAGCTGAGATTACACTACGCCCACCACTGTGCCTGGCTAATTTTTGTATTTTTAGTAGAAACGGGGTTTCGCCCATATCGGCCAGGCTGGTCTCAAACTCCGGACCTCAGGTGATCCACCCGCCTCAGCCTCCCAAAGTACTGGGATTACAGGCATGAGCCACTGCACCCGGCCTCATATTTTTAAAATGTTAACTGTACAAAGTTCTTAAAAAACAACTTCCAAAGGCAAATCATTTAAAAGAGAATACAGGTCAGGCATGGTGGCTGACGCCTGTAATCCCAACACTTTGGGAGGCCAAGGCAGGTGGATCACTTGAGATCAGGATTTCGAGACCAGCCTGGCCAACATGGTGAAACCCTGTTTCTACTAAAAATACAAAAATTAGCTGTGCCTGGTGGCGGGCACCCATAATCCCAGCTACTCAGGAGGCTGAGGCAGGAGAATCGCTTGAACCTGGGAGGCAGAGGATGCGGTGAACCAAGAGGCACCATTGTACTCTAGCCTGGGCGACAAAAGGGAAACTCTGTCTCAGAAAAAAAGAAAAAATTAAAAAGGCCGAGTGTGGTGGCTCACGCCTGTAATCCCAGCACTTTGAGAGGCTGAGGCGGGTGATCACCTGAGGTCAGGAGTTTGAGACCAGCCTGACCAACATTGAAAAAACATGTCTCTACTAAAAATACAAAATTAGCCAGGCGTGGTGGCGCATGCCTGTAATCCCAGCTACTCAGAAGGCTGAGGCAGGAGAATCGCTTGAATCCGGGAGGCAGAGGTTGCAGTGAGCCGAGATCATACCATTGCACTCCAGCCTGGGCAATGAGAGTGAAACTCCATCTCAAAAAACAAACAAACAAATTAAATAAAAAATGAAAGAGGACATTTATTATAGGAAATGGAGCGGTGTTCCTTTGAGAATAGTAAATGAACCTTTATTACTCCAGCCTACCACTCTGTTACCCAGGAAAGAAAAAAGCTTCGCTCCTGGAACCCATGTGTCTAGTTTTAATCTTATGCTAGTACACTGGCAGATTTAGTACAGTGGACGTGAAAAAAAGACAGAGTGCTTTCTTTGACAGCGTTATGCTTTAACATTGCAGATTTCCAATTCTGCCCCTTAAACATCAAAGAAGAGTTATTATAAGGACCAAAAGAACATGTAAGGATGGGGATAATGAAAATGTCCCTCCATTTAGCTGTGCTTGTTTCTACAGTACATAAAGAGAAAATCCATCCAGTTATTTGAAAGCTAGCCCTAAATTAATAGGGGAGAAAGAAGAAATTCTAAGTAGATTGTGAATTGTTAGAAGAATTCTGAATTGTCAGGTTCTTAATTTTTAGATAACTTTACCAAGTGACACCAAGTTGCTATAATTCTCCAACATCACCTCCTTGTACAAATTCCTCTGCGCTGGGTTCAGGCATTCCCATTCCTCCTGAGAGACATCTATAGCCACATCTCTGAACATCACCAACTCCTAAAATGACAAATCGTAGTACTATTTTTGAAATTATAAGAAACATTTTTAAAAAGAAAAGAGAGGCGCTAAAAGAAGGTACTGCAAGAAAGGAGACCGTCTACTGAATATATAGGCTAAGCCTGGGTCATGGGTCAAAGAGGAATTTAGTGTGACTGAAGCGGAGTGCCCACATGTTCTTAAACAATTCAATTTCTGCAGATACATCTTCTTGTGTAGGTGGCAAACTCCTGTTAATCAGTCATCTCGAAACTAGGAAAATAAGTACAGGCTCCCAATTAAATTAAATAGTTAAAAATGTTTAAATCTTTCCAAAATGTCTTATTAAAATCTCTATCTTGAGAAAAATAACTTGAAGACTTGACTTTATGATTATGACTATCATGCCATAGGCATTTTTAGTTTTCCTGCAAATTCTTTAGTACACATCTGGTGCAGACTACATTTTCCATAGATGGATACTGCTGTATCTTGCATCGCATATATTCTTCAATTTAATCTTGACATCGCCCTTCCAATTGGTGTAAAGTTATGCGTCCCCTTCTCTTGAACCTGAAAGGACATCTTTCAACCTATAGACTTATTCACCCTATAGAATATGGCAAAAGTGATTATGTGACTTCCGTGGTTAGATCACAAAAACATATCATACTTCTGCCTTACTTTCTGGGGATGTTCGTTCTGGAAACGCAGCCACCATGTTCCTAGGAAGCCTAACCAGCCCATGGGATAGCTCATGGGGAAAGGAACCAAGCCTCCCCAAACAACAGTCAGCAACAGCTTGCAAGCCATGTGAGGGAACTATCTTGAAAGTGGGTCATGTAGTTCCCAATCAGACCATTTCAGCTGATACCACATGGAACAGAGGTGAGCGATCCCTACTGAGCTCTGCTCAGATTGTGGATTTGCAAGCTCAACCATGATTGCTGTTTTAATCTACTAAATTTTGGGTTGGTTTATTATCTAGAAATAGTTATTGTAACGTAATATGATTTTT